GGAGGGTAAAGAGCTATTTATGACCTTAGGGGTCAATGGAGAAACTTTCCTCTGGAATAGGAGCAAGATGAGGCAACTGAATGAGAACTAACAAGTTCCATCACTTGGGGAAGGCTTACCAAAGTTAAATAAATAAGCAAGAACATGTAACAACATATGAAGAATCATCAAGATCTACATAAAGACATAAAGTTAACAACCATCAATGCAAGTAAAGAACATGTGTAACAACAACAAGTTCATCTATAACATTCAAATGAGATTGATGCAAACAAGTTACAACTTGAAGCAAGCATGTTATAAGGATCAAATGTAACAACATAAGACCATCTAAACAATGTATTGATAACAATCAAACAAGCAAAAACACAAGAAATGTTACAATAATTCAAGTGTCTGTTCATGACTTCATGGGGAAAAATAAGCAAGTTTCATGATAACAACCAAGTCAACAATCAAACTCTAGAATTTTATGGTTCTAAAAAGACACGTAAACAAGTAGTATGAGGCATGAAAAACATATTCAAGAGGTTACAACATCAAGAATCATGTTATGAATCACAAAGAAGTTCAAGGTATACCATTCACATTCAAGCATTCACAAAGGCAAGAAACAAACCCTAAACCTGTTATGGTTCTAACAAGGCACATAAATAAGTAGGATGAGGCATGAAAAACATATTCAAGAGGTTACAACATCAAGAATCATGGTATAGGTCACATATGAAGTTCAACAGACCATTTTCACATGTATGCATTCCCAAAAGCAACCATGAACATAGAAAGACAATGAATCAAACAAATTTGAATATTTAAACATGTTAAGAAACATATATTAATCATACAAGACAATTCTCACAAGAAAAATCAAGTTACATGTTGAAACTTTTCAAGAATACCATGGAAAAAAACCCTAAAAACACATGCTATTCAAGTGGGCCAAAGTATTTCTAGGATAACAATCCTTGAATTATATCTTCACTCAATAAAAATATACATGTTAAGGAGTAGTTTTCAAAAAGAATGGCATCAATATCATAACAAATGAGCAAGTTATGATCATGGAAAGTTGGTGCACAAAATGGGCAAAACTAGGTCAAGGCAAGGTAAGGCAACCTAAGGCCATTTGCATGAAGAATTGGATCTCAGTTAAAACTTAACCAAATGAGGTGAAACAAAATTGCAAATTGTGTGTTTTTTAACAAGGAATTCAATGGTCAATTTGTTTTTCCATACCATGAACCCACAAGAAAACCCGATAGCATCATTGGTAGGTCAAGTTTTTTTACAACCAAATGCAAGAATACATGAACAACATTGTGTAGTGGTGTGCTTTGTGAAACAAGTGTACAAAAATCACATATGCATCATATATAGAGGTTAGCACAAAAGAAAACAAGAAATGCACGAGTGGTTTGGCAGATTGGAATCATCATGCAAAATGTGACAAGGTTGGACCTAGTTTGTGACCTGAAATTTGACAGTACCAAAAATACATATTTTGCTGCAAGAAATGGTTCATACATGACACATAACATACACAAAACATGTCGAATAATTTTCAACTTAAAAGTATGGCTAGAACTCAAAGTAGCATGAGAAATGCAAGTTGTAGGCTTACCGCTTGTAGCCTTATGATGCAAGCTTGAGAAATAAGAAAGCCAGGGATCCTACAAGCTTCTTAATGGTCTGAAAATTCTCCAATGATGATGAGAAGATGCTCAAGATAAACTCCAAGTAAGCTAGTGGCCAGAATGCCTTGCTAATGAATAAATCACCAAAAATTCCAAAGATTTCAAAAGTAAACTTGCTCAAATCTTGTTATAGAAGTGTGAATCAATCATGGATTGTTTGTATAGGTAAAATCTGAGGTGTGAGTGGTCTTGGAACTCAAGGAAGTGTAGTGGTTTGATGGTTGCTCTCCAAAATGCAGAAAAGTCAACAAATGAGGTTTTGATGGTTGACTTTTTTCTTGGATGGTTTTCTGGCTAATTTGAGGTCTTGGACAACTCTAGTACATCATATGTGATGTGTTTGAAGTATTTTTTGAGTTGAAAAATGTTTGGAAATGGTTTTGGAAAGGATTTTGCAAAACATATTTTGGGGAAGTTTGAAACTTAGCGCAAACTTGCAAGAACTTGGTGATTGAGTGAGGGAGAGAGTTATAGCTTGTTTATAGCATGGAACTGGTGTGTTTGGGATGTGATAATATGGTTCTATTTATTTCCAAGAGTCTTGAGTGAGAGGCATGTGCAGATTGACACAAAATGCCAACTTTGGCCTTCTACACTTGGAAATCTTGCAAATCTTCTTTACTGACCTCAAGCCACCCTAACAAGAGCTTCTCCATACCCTAGAGGTAATTTACATAATTCTTGAGAGGATAGGAAGTGGATGGATGCAACATAGTTGGTGATTTGATGAGGGCAGCCACCATTTTTCTCTTTCTTCACTATCCACATTTGCAACTTGCATTAAACAATGCTTTTCTTGAATTCTTGTGCCAAATTCGTGGTAGCTGGTGCTAAACACTTCCATTAGAAATGTGAAGATCATAAATAAGGCTTAAACCTTGATTAGAATTGATTTGAGAAGCTTTGGAATCAAGACATCCATGCTGAACTGGTTTTGCAGCAGTGAGTTTTTGCCAACTTGTGAGCTTTGGTTCTCCCTAACCATGAAGATTATGGAACCCGCTTGTACTTTTTATAAATTCCTCATTAGGTAATAAAAATTTGATTTTTTTAGTTAGGAATCTATTCCACTTGAAACTAGGTCAAAACCCCTTGTGAAAATACTGAATTCTTGACTTACAAGTCAAGAAACCTTGAAATTTCTAAGTGTTTAAAATCCTTCATAACTTTATGAGCTCATAACTCCAAATCCATTCATTTTTTGCTCATGGAGTACACTTTTGTAACTCTCCTTAAGACCCTTCCAACAGGCTTTGAACCACTCCATTTAGATGTGTGGTTAGGAAGTTATGACCATTTGAAGTTTGATCAAAATTAGGGTTTCTTCACTTACCCTTATTTCTTGATTTGCAAGTTATCTATAAATTCTTGATTAAATCTCCACCAAACTTCATAATTATATTTGAAATGATGTTGGAAACATGGTTGGCTTCAATTTGGGGTAAAAACCATGTTGGTCAATGAGTTGACTTTCCTGATAGACGAACCGAACAATTGAAAATCTCTGAATCGACTGTTGATGTTTTGGGTTCCCTGAGGCCTTGAAACTTCTTCGGTAGACTTAATTGGGTCATATTAGCCTCATGGACCACAATTCCCTCATTGGGAAACCTTCTATACCAAAAGTAAAAATACAGTTGACTTTTCCGACAAGAAACCCTGATTAGGGTTCTTGCACTGCACTACTTCCATTCTCTTGGTGACAACCTCAAATTGGACTCATTCTTGATCAAATATGATATCCTTGATGATATAGAGACTTTTCATGGGGATAATCAATCCAAAACCTTGAATGATCAATCCCTAGAAACCCTGATTTCTTGACTGTATGAAACCCTAATTTATCTGCATCTTGATAAAGACAAACCTCAAATAGGTTAAGGTTAAATAAACAATGTTAATGCACCTAGAATGATAAAGAGATCTAGGGGAAATTTTGGGGTATGATAGTTTATATCCAACTCTCGCTGAAAAACCAATCGTGGGATCTTGTTTCCAAAAAACTAAGTCTTTCACATTCCTTCTAGGTGAGACATAAACAAGGATCCTCTTCAAGGCTAATAGACTCTCCAATTCTGCAGGATTCAACGCTCATTGTAATACTAAATCGTCCCACTGCCACTCTCCTTCTATAGAATTGCTCATGGAATAAATTGAGCTCTTCTTAGATTTACATATGCAATATAAATTGTTGAACTGAGTTGTTAAAGAAACATTGTTTAGCCAAAAAGTATTCCAAAACGGGACCGTTTTCCCTTCTCCTAGCTTTTAAGAAATTGGTATTGCAAAAAAGAAACTCTCATTAGAATAAACCAACCCTGTCTTGATTAGATCTTTCCACCAAAAGGAAGAAGATCTAGGCAAAACAACTTGCTTTGCCAACATTTTTTCTTTAACAGATCCATATATACCCATCAACACTTCTTTCCAAACCGATTCTTTATCCTCAAATGTCTTCCATTTCCTTTTAGATAGTAAAGCCACATTAAAATCCTCCAATCTAATAACTCCCAATCCACCATTGACCTTAGGACTACGCACCACCTCTTAACTAACCCAATGAGTATTTGATTTTGCATTACTTCCACCCCATAGAAAACGTTTCCTGATCAAATCCAACCCTTTCAGAACTCCCACTGGAACTTTATAAAAAGAAAACCAAAAAATTGGAAGACTTGAAAGCACAAAATTTATTAAATTGATTCGGCCTGCCATCGAAACCAACTTCCTCTGCCAACACGCTAGCTTGCTCGAAAACTTTTCAACCAAAAAATTCCACGAAGAGATTCTTCTAGGATTGCATCCTATTTGAATACCTAAAAATCGGGAAGAAGCTTTTTCAATCCTACAAGCTAATAAGTTAGATGTTGCTTTCATGAAATGAACACTAGTGTTAATACCCATGATTTTGCTTTTGGAAAAATTAACTCTTAGTCCCGAGATAAGCTCAAAGCCTCTAAGTAAGACCTTAATACACCATAAGTTTCTCCATCCTCCTTTTCCTATGATGAGCGTATCGTCAGAAAATTGAATAAGTTCCACTGTCATATCTTCCCTTACTTCGAAACCATTGAATGTTCCATTAATAGTTTCCTTCTTCATCAATTGAGTTAAACCTTCAGTAACTAAAACAAAAAGAAAGGGTGTCAAAGGGTCACCCTTTCTGAGACCTCTTTCCTCTTTAAAATCTCTCTTCGGGCTACCATTCACCAATATCAAATGATGGCAACTAAAGATACAAGCTTCCATCCAATTCCTCCATGTTCTTCCAAAACCCATAGTTTCCATCAAGAATTTGAGATAATTCTAGTTTACACAGTCATACACCTTCTCAAAATCTACCTTGAATGACATACACTCTTTGTTGTCTCTAGTTGCTAAATCAATGATTTCATTTGCAACAACTACTCCCTCTAACATTTTCCTACCCAAAACAAACGTTGTTTGACATTGAGAGACAAGCCCACCTATCACCTTTTTCAACCTATTCGCTAACAGTTTCGCCATGATTTTGTAAAGACTCCCTACTAGACAAATAGGTCTATATTCCCTAAGGTGTAAAGGTTTATCAACCTTGGGAGTAAGAGTGTTAAATGATGAACTAACAACCTTGGGAAGAAAGGAATGAGAATTAAAATCTGTCAGAACTTTAAATATATCATACTTCAATAAAAACCAACATCTTTTGATGAAGACAAAATTATATCCATCTGGGCCTGGACTCTTGGATCCATCACAGTCCCATACCGCTTCCTTGATCTCTGAATCCGTGAAAGGAACCTCTAAAGATTTAGCCTCCGAAATAGACAACTTATTAAAACCTCCATATTCCAGAATTGGTCTAACGACTTCAGGCTCAGTATACTTACCCTTGAAAAAACTATGAACCACTTCCTTTACATCCTCTACTGCCTTCACTCTACCAGGTTCCGTATCCACCACAACAATGAATTTCATTCTAAGTCTACCATTAATATAGGCATGAAACAATCTCGAATTTTCATCACCTTCTACACACCATCTCCTCCTAGATTTCTGGATAATCATATTATCTTTGATTTTCAGATTACTCCACATCTGACGGCAAGCCTCCGATCTCTTCTTCACCAACTTCTCAACCTCCTGACTATTACAAACTAAAAGCTTCAGATCTAACTCATTCATATCCTCGATACCTTCTTCCTTCTTGAGCTCATGCCATCCAAAAACATTAGTACTCCACTCTCTGATTTTAACCTTCAACAACTTACAATTTTCTTTTATGACAAACTCACTTCTGCCTGAAATCTTGATCCCCCTTCAAGCTTTTTCCACAAAACAGAGAAAATATGGATTATCAAACCAACTTTCGTTAGACTTGAAGGGTTTAGGACCCCAATTAGTAGCTTTGATGTGAACCTAAATCGAATAATGGTCCAAAATATCTCTTTTTTCGATCGATTGAACCACCATACCCCACTTGTTTATAATAGCTTTGTCAACCAAGAATTTGTCTATCCTACTTGTTGCGGTGAGAATAGGATATCAAATTATTAATTAATTTGAATCACAAATATTTCATTCACAACCGGCCTTTGATTTATCCGTAGGAAAGGTTAAAGAAAGGAAAAACCTATTTTGCATCGTAAATATAATGCGGGGAGAGATCTAGGGTTCGGGGGTTGGTTAAGCTTAGGGACGGTATTAGCATCCTAAACTTTTGTAGTACTCTACATGAATCTCTTGTTTATAATATGCTCAAGCTAATGGTTATCTGCTTAAGGTAATGCTAAGAGTTAAAGGTAAAGAGAAGGACCTAAGGGGTTAGTCCTAAGTTTACTCGCCAAGACTCGCATCTTGTGCCTACGCATACGAGGTAGGGGATGGAATCAGAGTAATCGTAGTTCCCCTTACAGAGGGAGGCGAAAAACTTCTTGACTGTGGTCAAGGTTCCAGGGGATGTAAACGTTCATAGGGAAGCGCTTACTTGGAGTGAGGAGACTCCGAATCAATTTTGTGAGTTGAATTAAAAGGTGAGGTAGTAAGTATTCCACGGCGGGAAACTTACGTGGAACGCGACGACTCCTTATCCTAAGGCTAGGGTAAAAGGTAAGATTGTCCACGGCGGGATGCCTAAAAGTATGAGTACGGCGACTCAAAGTCTTAAGGTTTAGGAAAATGTGTGGGTATATGTCCACGGCGGGACGCCTAAACACGAGTACGGCGACTCGGGTCCTAAGGCTAGGATGGGCGACGGTAAAGGAATATTGACACGGCGGTCAAACAGTTAAACATTTCCTTCAGAGGGGAACTAATGGTAAAAATAAACGATGATAAATTAATAATTAATGAAGTTAGTGATAATATACATGGTGATAATAACGAGAGGTGAATAGTAATAAGAATGTTAGATAATGTACTAGTAAAATAAAAAGAAAAGGTTAGCAACAGGTTCATGGATAATCAAGAATGATGTTAAGAATGAAGGATGATTGATGAATTAGAATGGATGAAAATTAGAAATTAGGTGATGAACGTTTTGAGACGATGAGAATTTAGGAAATTAGAAAAGAGTTAGAATGGAATTATTGTTTTAGGTGAAATTTAGAAAGAGTTAGAATTTTATGCGATAAAAAAATGTAGAATTTTAGAATAAAAAGAAGTTAGAATTTTATATTTTTAAAAAGAGGTGTAAGTTTTAAATTTGCAAAAAGTTAATTTTATTTTAAAAGAAAATGTTTGATTTTATTATATTTACAAAGAAAGATGTTAGGTTTAATTTAAAAAAAAAAAGTTATTAATTTATTAAGAAGAAAAAAAGATTAATTACAAAATGAAATCACAATTAATAAAAAAAAAATAAAATTAAAAGTTTTTAAGAGGGGGGTGACGAATCCCGTGTGTATGTGTTTATGAGAGTGTACGGTGTTCGTGCATAGGTGAGCCGTGTGATTGGTCTGATGAAGAAATCAACAGACGTGATGTGTGATGGTGATTTTCGCTAGGGCTTGTGGCTGCGAATCCCCTTGATGATTTAGGGTTTTCGGCCGTTTTTAGGGTTCCGGCCCACTCTTCTTTTCTTCTGATCTTTTTATACTATTTGATCTTAAATCTTTTTCGAACTTGCTGGGCTTGGATCAGATGATTTACATTTTAATTCGATGATCTTCAGATTTGATTTGTTTTCTGATTCATTTTTGGGAACATTAATCTTGATGATGATCTGATTGGATTCATTTTGATAGCATTGATTCAGATTTGGATGATTGGATTTGGATCTATTGTTATTTTGATATCATCCTCTTTCAATTCGTTTCTGGATCCGGATTTTGGTTTTGTCATTTGATGGATTTGATTTCTGATTTATTGGGCAATGATGTTTACTGAGCCCAGAGGGGATTTTTGGATCTGACATTTGATTTCAGATTTGATTGTTGGATGATTTTGAGATTTCATATTTTTGATGATAATAATGGATCTGGATTTGGCATTTTCGCTGATTTTGGATGCTTGTTGGATGGAATTTTTCGGGTCTCCTTAAGGACTGTTTGGACAGAATCATTTTTCTAAAAACTCTCTCTCTCTCTCTCTCTCTCTCTCTCTCTCTCTCTCTCTCTCTCTCTCTCTCTCGGTACGGGACAAAATATTACTGGATTTGGCCTGACGGTTGCAAATGAAAATGGGGGTTCAGTAGCATTCCATTGCTGCCCCTCCCAGACCCGATAATGACACTGTTCTGAGGGTCTGAAAATGTTAAAAATCACTTTTTCTGATTAACTGACTTTCTAACCAATTTTTCAACATTTTTGCAGGTTCTGGAAGTTCGGAAGATGACGAAGAATCGGAAGTTGAAGAACAGACTTAGAGCTAGAACTCTTAGGATTAGGATTTGGCCTTGTAATCTGTAATTCCTCAAAATGTAAACTTTGGATTTTTGTAATGAAATTTGCATATTGTATGGAACTTGATCTTGAATAAAATAAATAAATTCACTCTTGTAGCAAAACGAACTTTATTCCTCCACAGTTAAATTCCGAATCGTATCTTGAATAACTTTGAGTTTTGTAACCTGAACTTGAATCAACTGATACTTGCGACTAAACCACACTGATATTCACTATAAATCCGATGCAAACCGTAAATCGCACTACGCCTCTAAAATTTAAACTCATAACCAGCAAAGAAAATGAATACGTGTTCGAACTTGTTTAGATAACTTATTTGAAATAATTCTTGCACCGATTCAAACCCCGATCCATCAGACTTTAACAACCTCAGATCAAATAAATCAAATCAATCAGTAACCTATATTTCATATGAAGGCTAGCAATCCGATTCTCGACTCTGGATGAACTGTACCGAGGAATCTGACGTCTTTACTGTTATAGAAATCCAACCCATTCTCAAACCAAAGTCGCATAATTCGGGGATAGAAAACCCTAATTGCTTAAGGACCCTCTGACAATGATCTGGCTCTATAATCGTCAAAAGACTGTAAACTAGTAGCGTGTCCGCACTCACACGAATTACAAGGCTCATGGTATTATCTTCTAATTTTTCAACACACCTGCGAAACGAACAAACTGAGCAAATCGGTTAGCGTTTAGTTAAAATGAAATATGGAATGAGTCTAAGGGTAAAATTTGGGGTATGACAGTTGCCCCTATTTAAATAACTTCACCGGATGATTTGAGCAACAGAGGCTCGAGAAATCATGGTGAGAGGTATTTAAATACAGATAACTAAAAATTTTGCCCTTAGATGCAGTGATATGCAATGCTATGGATAAAACTAACTACAATGCTGACAATGTCATGAATCTAATATGATGCATATGATGAAAATGATAAATGCAAGGATGCAGACGGAATGACGACACAAGGGACAGACGCAGCGAGCAACTACACACTGGGGAAGACAACACACTGGGGAAATCTAAAGTGATGGACCGACAGGTGTGAGCCCGACCAGTTGCCACTTTAGAAAGAAAGGCAAGAAGAGATTCTCAATGGAGATGACACCAGCAAGCCGGCCTCCGCTGGGGAAAATATCCAAGATTAACTGCTCAATAGGTTCAGGCATGACCGGATAACACTCTAGGATAAAAGGGTAAAAGGGATCCACACGGCGGTAGGATCAGGTAAACAAAAAGATGCTGGAGTTTTCAGGCAAGAATAACATCCAAGCTTTTGGAAATTCCTTAAGCGAATAGATCGAACAGGATCTTCAGGAACCGTCAGAAAATAATACAGGGTAAAAACCTGTTGTATGCCAAAATAAATGGACTTCAATGGGAAATGCCCTGATAAGCTTCTCGAGAGAGACTGACAATTATAGCTGAAAGGGACTTATATGCCAAAACTGGATAAGCTTATCAAATAAAGAGATTGCCGCTTATCTGAAAAGATAACAATGATAAGTTTCTCGTGGGAGACTTCCACTTATTTGGGGATACAGATGAAATGATAAGCTTCTCTAGAGAGACTGCCACTTATTTGATGAAAATAAGCTTCCATGATCAAAATATGATTCAGCTTCTTCTTTAACTAAATAATTCATTTAGAAAGGGTAAATAAACTTCCCCACGCCTCCAAGGTTTGTATGCCATGAACGGGTCTCAGTTTCTTCTTTTACTTGAAAAGGATAAAATAAACCTCCCCACGCCTCCAAGGTTTGTATGCCATGAACGGGTCTCAGTTTCTTCTTTTACTTGAAAAGGATAAAATAAACCTCCCCACGCCTCCAAGGTTTGTATGCCATGAACGGGTCTCAGTTTCTTCTTTTACTTGAAAAGGGTAAAATAAACAAGCTTCTCGAGGGAGATGGCCACTTATCAATGTCATAATGAAGATAGGATAAGCTTCTCAGGAGAGCTTGTCGCTTATCTGTATTGTAAAAGGTAGTGATAAGCTTCTCGGATGAGACTGTCGTTTAACTGGGGAGTAAAGATACCATGATAAGCTTCTCCGAATGAAACTGTCGCTTAACTGGGGAGTAAAGATACCATGATAAGCTTCTCAGAATGAGACTGTCGCTTAAAGGTGTTGTAAAAATGGTGGTGGTAAGCTTCTCGGATGAGACTGTCGCTTAACTGCAAATGTAGCAATGATAAGCTTCTCAGAATGAGACTGTCGCTTATCTGCAAATGTAGCAATGATAAGCTTCTCAGGAGAGACTGTCGCTTA